GACTAAATTTTGTACGGTCAGTATGTGATGTATAGAGGGCTGATTCCGCTTTATGGAGTAGTTTGAAATAGTCTACTCTTACTGAGTATTAAGGTGGTCAGAGAGCTAGAATCCGCCACACAGAACAAGAGGATCCTTGTGGGCAAAAGACAGTCAGGAATTTCATTTGTTAGTCCTTTCATGTTAAGGAGACCACAGATGCAAGGCACAAATCTGCCCAATCCTGAGAGTGATGCCGGGACAGTGTGTTTATTAGGTTTTTTGTTTTGTCTTTTAATTTATTTTTATTTCATTTATATTGGCCTTTTGCCTGCATGTATGTCTGTATGAGGGTGTCAGAAGTCAGAGTTACAGACAAGTGTGAGCTGCCATGTGGGTGCTGGGAATTGAAGAACCCTGGTCCTCTGAAAGAACACCCAGTGCTCTTCACCACTGAGCCATTTCTCCAGTCCCTGCTTGTTAGTTTTTATTATCAGCCTCATCCAACCTGGGAAAAGACTTTGAATTCGGAATTTCCACATCAACTTTACTTTCTGGGGGCAGATTTTATAGATTGTTAATTAGATGGAAGACTCACCCCAAAATGGGCGGCATCATTTTATTGGCTGGGGCCTGAACTGTATAACAGTGAAGAAAGCTAGAGCATAAGAAGAGGAAAGCAGGCAACATGGGTGTGTCCCGTTTCTCTCTGCTCTTGAATGTCAGTGTGATGTGAGGAGATGAGTTCTTGCCTTGACTTCCCAGAAATAAGATTCTAATCTGGAACTGTGAGCTAAAAACCAATTCTTCCTTCCATAAGACCCTTTTGAACAGAAGATTTTTTTTTATCACATTAACAGAGATGAAACCAGGGCAGCCAGGATGCTGAACCCAGTGAGACTATCCCAGACATGGGAGTCCTGCATAGATGCCTGGCAGTCTAGGAAAATTAGCATGCCTACCTCATGTACTTGTCCCTGCAGGTCTCCAGAAACTTCTCTATTTGGGTGGGGGTGATACGGTCCAATTGGTACAGCACACGAGGCTGGAAGGAAAAAGTGCACAGTCAAGACTAGCTACATACTAGCTACAGGAAACACTGTGTCCCAACATGTCTGGGAAAGTCGTACCTCTGTTGTGCCATTATCATTGATGCCATATTTATCTCTGGTTTTCTTGATCTTCTCAGACACCCCTTTAATGAATGTTTTTATTTCCTGAAAAGATTATAGAACACACATCAATTGTATGACTCTCAATGATTTGGACAGCACAAGTTATCTGTACCCTTCAACAATGGACACAGAGCACCATATCTTAGCAACTGCTAAATACACAGCATCAAGATGCAATGTGGGCATTGGTTCTCTTACAGAGTGCTTGTAAGGATACTTCCGCTCTGGGGAAACTGACCCTCTGCTTAAAATGGGGTCAGGTCTCATTACCCAACCTTTTCCCATGAGTTATCTTGGGATCTTATCTCAGCCACAGGGCTGTGGGAAGGAGCTCAGCATAG